CATCAGTATCATTATTTCCTTTGGATATTTGTCCACCTACTGAATTATATGAATTGTCAAGCAAAAAAATACTGATACACAACTATTTATTCATGAGAATGGTACACCATTAAGACGGGGCGAGTTTACAAAGTGTCGAAATAGACTACTACAAGCAAACGGTTTAAATGATCGGGGATACAAAAGCCATTCCTTCAGAATAGGCGGGGCGACATATGCCGCAGCTCAGGGTGTATCTGATCAGATGATATGACGATTAGGTAGATGGCGTTCGGACGCATTTAAAAAATATATGAGACATAGAGAAACACTTCCTTGATTAGCACATTTATATAGTTAGAGAGTATTGTTAAATTATCAAGGACAAACAAATAAGGTGCTAGATCTAGAGATCTGAGCATTGCAGATAAGACGTAGAGAATATATTTTAGGTAGTTGTTTATTATAATTATTTATATTTATTATGCCGTGCCTAAAGTGCTATTAGTTAAAAAGTGGGGCAATAAAACAGTATTAAAAGTCAACCCACGTTTAAAGTGCAATTAAATAGAAAATGGCTTTTTGAGACACTTTTATATGTACAGACAGTAATTGTTTGTAATTTTTATCTTGATATACTCTAACTGATACAAAAATGGCGGTCATAAAAATGAAAATAGATCGTTTTTCAAATCAGTTTATTCATGTTTTTGTTTTTTTCTATAATTATCAAATTTTCAAAGATTGTATCATTCAGAGCAATATATTGGGCACACTTTCTGAAAAATTCGAAAGATTCTGTTCAGTGACCTTTCCTACCTCTTACTTTTATCTATTTTTAAGTCACATTTTCAGAGGGCTGAAAAGGTTATTACATCATGTTTAGAGTCATTCTGACCACGAACATTGTGATCCTGGACCTGTAAATGATATGTGGACCTAGTTGAATTGACTGGAGGTCAAAACAAAACTCTGTTATCTTTGTTCAAAAAATGCACTAGTGTTGTCGCAATGTGCCATAATCGTACATTGATGCATCAGCAATTTTCAGTAGTAAACACCGATGCACATCGCGATGTACATCGAGAAAAAGTCCGACAAAAGTGCACTGAAATACCGAACACTAATGCACTAAAATACTGAACAGAACAAATTAATAAGACTACGCTGGTACATCCAAGAACTTCTAGTAACAGTGAAATGAAAGTAAAGTAATTTTTTTAGATTAATGGTTCATTTTGACTAGCTAAAGCAGTTTTAGAGGGAAATGAAGTAAGACATGATAAAGTCTAGGTTCGCGTTAACGCCGTTTTTCGCGTTTTTTACGCAGATAATTTCATCTTCACGCAAAACTGCAACACATCTTACGTATCGTGTACGCAAAAATCATATCCCCCAAATGTACCGATGAAATAATACCAAAAAACAACCAAAAAACAAAAATTAAAAACTTAAGCACTCTCTCTAACAGCGTAACATAACGATCAATCTGATTCGTGCATAATATTTGTTTTCCGGTTATTAAGCCAATCAAAATTCTTGTAGCAAACGTATGCGGCTAAACAGGGTATAGCTGCAGAATTTTTTCCGCAGGACCGTTCGTGTGAATTGATCGCTTATTTTATAATCTGCACTGTACAGCCGTGAGAAATCAACTTGTTTGTGATAAATGGAGATAATCAACCCTAATATAGATGGTCACCATGTTAGATTCTTTTTAAATATTTCGAATGGCCACTTGAATCGGTGGGACTGCATTCAAATAACCACGGCTATTTGATGCCTACCGACTGCAGCAATCTGATGCAAGCACCATACCCGGATGTCATAAGGGGATTCCCCGTCCATAGCCAAACCGCCGATGAAAAAACGATAATTTCTTCGTTCTGTGCCGATTAACTTTTTTGATCGGGGATTCAATAACATAAAAAGAATCCTAAAACACTCAGGAATTTATTGAGGCAGGTTATTTGTGTAAAACTCGCGTCAAAAATTGATAATGATAAGTGCCGTTCCACATCACCACACTTCAGGGTGGGCGTGGCACATCGAGAAGGCTACAGATGTTCATGATTCCTTGATTTATGTTTTTTCATGATATTAGAATTTGAGCTACAGTTTAGTCTCGAGAGGTAAATTCTAACAATATTGGGGTGTTTGGGAGAGCCATGGAAGGTAAGTTACAGGGACTTTGTGGAGGCCTCAGAAGAAGGTAAACAGGAATGACTTGCAATGCATGAGTACATGCGGGGACATAAACAAATTTTTTTTACCACAAAAGCCCGCTGAAATGATTTCCAAAAAGTACCCCAAAATAATTATTTGTACCCCATTTTTTGAAGTGACCTGGGTATGAAGTACTCAAAATTACTAAGGCCTAGCGCAATCACTGTAAAGTTAAGCGATTTGCGTCAAAATGAAGGGTGATTTTTAGCAAATTAGATTTTTTTAAAAACATCGATGTTTTGTTTCAGACATCGATGCATCGCCAGAATCAGCTTTGGCGATGAATATCACGATGTATCGATTAATCGCGACAACACTAGTACGCACAGGCGTACCAGATGGTTGCAAATTCGTTCCAAATACAATCAGATTTCAAAATTTGCTTTGGAAGAAGAACCCTCCAGACTAGTGTTGTCGCGGTTAATTGATACATCGCGATATACATCGCTAAAGCTGATTCTGGCGATGCAGCGATGTCTGAAACAAAACATCGATGTTTTTAAAAAAAATTCATTTTCTAAAAATCACCCTTTCTTATCTTATTTTGACGCAAATCGCTTAACTTTCTCATGTCTTATTTCATTTCCCAATGTTTTTTGATATTATTTCATTTTTAAAACTGTTTTAGCTAGTCGAAATGAACCGTTAATCTAAAAAAATTGGCCGTGCCTGGAGAGCCTTAAAATTTAAGGCTCTCTAGCCAAATGGGTTACCAAAATGCTAAAGAGCCTTAAATTTTAAGGTTCTTTAGCATTACGGCTAAAGAGCCTTAAATTTTAAGGCTCTTTAGCATTTTGATAGTCAATTCTGCTAGAGGGCCTTAAAGGAATTCCAGGCGACAGAAATGATGAAATATTGCTTCTGGGACAAGATCAAACGACTTTGACATATTCTATACACAACCTATTTTGTAATTTAACAATCAGCACAAATATACATACCATATTAGCAGATATCGGACAAATTCAAAAAGAAAATTATTTTTATCGATAAAATCACTGATTATTAAACCGGAAGTGTCTTCTCTGAGGTCCGCGAAGATGAAGAAGATAACATATAAAGATTTCAGTCATTTCAACTAACTTTGCCGTCGATTTGATTTATATGGTTTTAAATGATCTTCTAATGCTTACTATGACTTCTATTAGTACTGTTTTGACTTCCCCACTTCATAAAAAAACATTATCACTTTTCGCTCGACTCATAAATTTACTTCCGGTCTACCGAGAGAAATAAAAGAACCTTTTCAATCCTCAGTCTAAATTCGGCTTTTTAAAGGTTCAAACATCGATTTTGAACGGACTGTTCATGCATATATCGAAAATATATGTCTCTGGTTCACCAGAGAAGGTGTAAGACCAGGCAATCACGTATATAGCCAGACAAATGTTATTTTTACCATTTTATCCACTATAAATTGCAACGTCCGTTCAGTAAAGATTTTGATGTGTAGACATTTATTGATGGATTGGAGGCTAGGATAAAAATGTTGTTGTTGTGTTGCATAAGCTGCTGTTTCCTCGACAGTTCACCTCTTGTACTGTAAATTTTCTTTGTGCTCTCTCATGTGCTTAAATTCTCACTTGTCAGTGAGGAAAATATTGTGCAAAAATATCTCGTCACGTGAAAAATTCTAAAATCAGCATTGAAACCTAATGGGCAATAGATTTGGAAGTGTATTCTGTGATGTCCCTGGGCTGATGTACCTGCATTCACGATAAACTGCGTCAAGATGTGCTGATCTAGAAGAAACAAGATCCTTTTTCATCCCCAGGTCTTCATCATACTTTTTGCCATCTTAAAATGGGATTCCCTGTATTCTCGTGACTATAGCAAAGCCAATACAAGTGATTAATTTTATTAAACATTGATGATTGAACGATGGAGCAAGCCCAAGAATTCTAGAAAAAATTGTGTACATAATTTCCGGACCTCACAGAGCAAACTTCCGGCTTGTTATTCAAAATAAAAAGTGCTCCATCGGGGAATCGAACCCACGCCGCAGAAGGGGAAAGCGGGCACCCTAACCACTATACCAGAGTGTTTTTCGATAGTAATGCAATTTTTTTGCAATTCTATAGTGATATACATGTGTGAAATTTTTAAGTGGCATTCTGGGTTGAAAAACTTTCGAGAGTGTTGTTTTATTGTTTAGATGACGAAAACTTCAATAAAAAACAATATAAACACGGATTATAAACACAAAGGCTCTCTAGCCATAACACTATGTTCACAGCTAAATAGCCTTAAATTTTAAGGCTCTTTAGCATTTTGGCTAAAGAGCCTTAAATTTTAAGGTACTCCAGACACTTCGAAAAAAATTACTTTACTTTCATTTCACCGTTACTAGAAGTTCCCAGATGAACCAGCGTTCTGTATTTTAGTGCATTAGCGTTCGGTATTTCAGTGCACTTTTCTCTGACTTTTTCTCGATGTACATCGTGATGTGCATCAATGTTTACTATTGAAAATTTGATGCATCGATGTACGATTATGGCACATCGCGACAACACTACTCCAGACCCCCCTGAAAGCTTGTTTTGCAACACTCAACTCTTGTTCCCATGGTGGCGTACTACTTAGAAAATTAGGGCTATGCCCATGCTGGCACGGGATAAGCTGTAGATTGCTTGGTCGGTAAGTTGATTGGCTGGTATGTTGAGTTGGAGGCCTGTTGAATGGATTGTTCATTAGCGTGTTTTAGAGTATAAAATGAAAAATCATATTCCTGCTCCTGCTAGGAATGTTAGGTACCCGGTTTTTTACACAAACCCATAAATGAGGAATAAACTTACCTCTTCGTGAACGTAGTCATAAACTTGATAATCTTTCAGTTTAGCCATGTAGTTTTTTTGGAGGCGTTTAGTTTTGCGATCAAATACATTCATTACAGTGTCTTGCGGAGGTTGAGTTGCAATACATTTGGCACTTGGAAGCGGTGAAGCCTGAATTTTTTCCAAGAAATCACGTGTTCCTGTTTGAAGTGTTTTTCCACAAATTTTTGATGATTTCAAGTGACGCAAAATGCCCCACATTTTGGAGGAGTTATTCTTTTATCGCTGACAGTCACCTTTATTACCTCAAATCAGAATTATATATGAGAAACTTACAAAACTACTGTTTTCCGAACATCATTTTTAGTTTACTTAATCCGAATATGGGGCGGGTCATGACATGAAGGAAACCCGCCAAATTTGAATTATCAACTATGATAGAAATAAACAAAATGAGCATGATGTGTAATCTATTTTCAAAAGACATGATTATAATGATAGAAAATAAAAGGAATGTCACTATCTTCCATTGTATGTAATGAGTTGTAAAATGTTTGGGCGTCTCATGAGGCTCTTCTATTTGAAGGTAAATTTTTACAAGATGTCCAAAGCCAAAGGTAAGCTTTAAACATCTGTTTTACATGGTTTTGTCGCTGTGAATTGTTTATATTCTAGTGTGTCGATGTTCAGATGATGATACTTCAAAGCTTGATATAATTTTATCAATATTCTAAACATCTTATATTTGATTTATGAGTTAATTTTAGAAAATAAATTTTTAAGAACCCGGAAGTAGCCTTAGACTATATCCTATTTAGTCTGAATTATATTCAGACTATAAGGCACCTATGTTAAAGTTTGGTAATTCAAAATATTTGTTTACATAGGAAGTGCTATTCAAAATGGCCGATTGGGTAAAATTAATTTGCACATTTTTACTTCAACTAGCTTTATTTCCACTTGGCAATATGCTGTGTTACTTTATATTGCATTTAATTGTACCTTACTATTTAATTGACATTTTGTAATGTTTATTTTTTTAAAGAAATGGTTCCTCTAATTGATAATTTTGTGCAAAAAATTTCACTGCAATTTCCACAGGTAAGTAGTACATCATAACAGACTGACTTCTAGTCAGTCTGTTGGATACATACTAGAAGTAGCCTAGGTGTCAAAGTGTATGACAGACTGACCACAGATGCAGATGGAGTATTCCATATATTCATACTGCACACAAATGACATTTGTATATTTCAGAATATTTAGTTAAATAAGACTGTGGCCTCCTGTAATTTGAGGTCTATCCTTATCTTGTTCAAGGACTATCTCTACGAAGAGGATGGTGTTAAGGACAGGGTGCATGTTGGGAAATTTTCTGCATTCCTCAATTGAGTCACATGTTATTTTTCAAACATGAATAACTCCTTCCCCACATTGTCTGCATCTTCCAAGTTTGCACAAAGAATGCACTTCTGTGCCTAGAAAAGCCTTGTGAGAAGGTTTGTTTTGTAAAATGTATAAAAAATGAGAAAATTCAGTGAAAAAAAATTCTGAAAATTTTCTGATTTTTTTCACTGAATTTTCTTGTTTTTTATACACTTTATCGAAACATTCTTCTCACAAGTCTTTTCTAGGAACATAAGTGCACTCTTTGTGCAAAACTGGAAGATATAGACAATGAAGGGAAGGAGTGATTCTTGTTTGAAAAATAACATGTGACTCAATTGAGGAATGCAGAAAATTTCCCATCATGCACCCTGACCTTAAGGTACAGCAGGAAAGTAACATTTTGGTAAAAAATTGCTATACCTGCACATGTTATTTTCTGGTACAAAATAAAGTATGAAGGCATGTGTCAATTTCCTTGCTTTTTTCAGGAAAGTATCATTACATTGTCTTCTTTTAGAATATCTGGTAGGGGTTCAATGGAAACTCCAGGAAATTCTGATATTTCACACTTTCTATTTTTCAAAATTTTCTTTCAAAATTTCCAGACAACACAGGAGCTACCATTGACCTGTTTCCAGATATTATAAAAGTAAACAGTGTAATGATACTTTCCTGAAAAAAGCAAGGAAATACACACATGACTTCATACTTAATTCTGTACCAGAAAATAACATGTGCAGGTGTAGCAATTTTTTACCAAAATGTTACTTTCCAGCTGAACCTTAAAACAAGATACAGTTGGGGACATAAATAAATGACAGGTGGATTTGCTGAAGTGAGGATTTCCCATGTTAAAAATAAGAGAATTTACAAGAGGCATCAGTGGATGAGATTATACAAAATGTAAAATATACAAATTTTAAGGGATATACACATTGTTTTGACATATCCAAGGGAGTCAAACAAGGCTGTTCGATTTCTCCGACGCTATTTTCTATATATATAAACGATCTGGAAACGGCGATTAACGCTCTCAACAAAGGAGTAGACATAGACGGAAAAAACATTGGCATTTTCATGTATGCAGATGACGTCGCACTTGTTGCCCCAACTGCTAATGATTTACAACATGTGCTGAATAAACTTTACGAGTGGTGTAATACATGGAGAATGACACTTAACACAACAAAAACAAAAATCGTCCATTTTAGATCGTAATCTCATTCCAGGAGTAATCATATATTCACATTTGGACCATCTAATCGTCTCGAATATGTTTCGGAATATCGTTATTTAGGACTTACATTAAATGAACATCTTGACATGCGACAAACTGTTAAAATACTTGCAAAATCGGCAAATCGTGCCTTAGGAATGTTAATTGCAAAAACAAATATAAAGGGTGGACTACCTTATGCTGTATTCACGAAACTTTTTGACACCCTTGTTTCCCCTATTATGTTATATGGTGCCGGTATTTGGGGCACTCGACAATACTCTGAATTGGTGTTGGACGTACAGCACCAAATGGATCAACCAAAGGAGATATCTGCTGGACATCAGTATTTACCAAACAGAGAGTCGAGGTGACTAGACTCTGGTGTCGATTAAAAAACATGGCTACATATACTGTAGGACACCGAAGCATATATCTAAATGGTCTTGCCGATATCGTAAATCTTGGGAAAATCCCACGCTGAAAATGTTACAAGATTTGGACTTCCCTCAGCTCATCGACAATGAAACTATTTCTCGAGTTAAACTCCATCTCCACGAGGTCAAAGAAGCGTGCACACGGGCAGATCACGTCGAATGGCACAACAGTCTTTGGGACGATAGAAATAACCCAATTAATGGCAACAAATTACGAACATATAGACTGTTTAAAACACACTCTGTGGAACCCGCCCATTATACTTGCATTAACATGTCAAGGAGCGAACGCAAAGCAATTGCCCAACTTAGAGGCGGAACACTCCCATTGAAGGTTGAAACTGGACGTTATCACAATACCCCACTCCAGGATCGTCGATGTCACTGTGACAATCACACTGTTGAGGACGAGATACACTTTCTCCTACAGTGCAATTCTTATGATGAACTTAGAACTCCATTGTTTCTGAAATGCCTTGAGGAAATTCCAGATTTTCACACTTTTAATTATATTCAACAGTTTTGCTCTATTATGACTACACCAATGTTACAAAGGACATTGTCAAAGACACTGATTAATATGCTTTTAAAAAGGCGTTCTTTAATTGAATAATCAAAAACTTTTAACAAGTGATTATTATGATTTTAAGTCTCCCATAGGTCGACACCGGCCGGGCCGAAGATTTTAACTGATATTGCATTATTATTGTACTATTTTATATATGGCGTGAGACGTTAATAAATATTTATACATACATACATATATATCTAGACAATATTGGAAATTATGGGCTTTCAGACCACCATAATTAGGAAATGGTGATCGAAAATCGACCTGTCATTTATTTTTGTCCCCAACTGTAAGTCTTACCTTCTTCTAAGGCCACTGTATCGTGGCCTTCCAGTACAGATATATTTCTGCATGAACAACTGGTCATGTCGTAATTATAAAATTTGAAATCATATGTTCGCCATTTTTCCACATCACAATTTGAATTGCGAGTTTTGGTCTAATTATTACCTCACCAAAAATTCCAAAACACACATAAAGTATTCAGTGTATTAGTTCACATCTTCTGGATCGCTAACTTAGAATTTACAGCCAGTTACTTAATGTCAGACGTTAACGACATTTCGTCCAGTTTTCGAACATCGCCATTTTTCTTGGAGCCATTTTGTTTTAATTTTAGATGAAATCCTGATGAAATCATGTCATATCTCATCAAGGAGCCGAGCTGGGTCCGGTTTGATTAATGATTTATTTATCTGGCGATTTTTAAAATATTCAATAAATTTATGACACCCCGGCCAGCTTTTTTCAAATAGAGTTCACAGTATTCCAGATGAAATCCCCTCTAGCCAAGTATTGGCTAGAGACTCGAGTAAGATAAGTCTATCCGCCATGAATAACATCTGAGACTAAAGTCAAAACAGAAATGTTTGTGACTACTTTGAATTTACAAAATAAGCAATCAAATGACCATATTGAAACAGTTTATGTAAAAATAGAAACATTCATATTTATCCTAACTTTTGTATATTTTAGTTTGTTTTGTAGTTTAGCTATCATATCTGTGTCCTCTTATATTTTGATACTTCTCTGCCATGTTATTTTTGGAAAAATTAACATGGCTGAAACTCCCTAAATTACAAAAGGCAACAGCTTTGCTGTACATTACACATTACTTTATGAAATATACAAAAGTTAGGATAAATATAAATGTTTCTATTTTTACATAAACTGTTTCAATATGGTCATTTGATTGTTTATTTTTTAAATTCAAAGTAGTCACAAACATTTCTGTTTTGACTATAACCTAATTAGAGATATACATTGATTTTAATTATAGATACTAAGGCTCCAGAAGGTGCAACTAAGTCACCAGAGATGACAGTTGAAGACATCACAAAGCTCATAAATGATGGGAAGATTAAAAATATTATTACCATGGCTGGGGCAGGAATATCTACATGTGAGTATATCTGTATTTTATTTGAATATCTTCTCCAGCAAAATGTTCCGAATCGAATCAATCCGATTCTGTAACACCTCTACTAATTATTACAATTAGACAATGTTAGGACAAATGTGATTTTGCATATTGTTCCAGCTGCTGGTATTCCTGACTTTCGGTCCCCTGATGGACTCTATGCTACATTAGGTGATAAACTGGAAGAGTACAATCTTACACATCCCACCGCAATATTTGATATTGCTTTCTTTAAAGTAAGTTTCCACAACATTGTGTTATATAAGTAGCAATTCCAGTTTTTATGTCACCACCAGAAGTGTAATAACTTATAGTCTCCAACTTTTTTTGTGGATGGTATTTACCTTTCAGTAGTTAGTGTTCGGTGGCTGGCAATCAGCATCTGTAACATATGTTAATGTCTTGTATCTATTTTATTTTAATTCGAAATTATTTTGTTTGAAATGTTCCTTGCAATTTATTCACCCTCTGAAGTGATTTGAAAGTGTTTAGTGAGTTTTCTAGAACCTGCAGAATACAAATATACATTGAATATTATCTTTTAACTCTTTAATACATCTTTCTATAAAATTATGAACGCATGTTTGGTGTGATTGCAGGAGAACCCAAAACCATTTTACATTCTAGCAAAGGAACTATGGCCCAAGAAGCTTAAGGTAATTACTTTGTGACATGTATGATTGGCTACGCATAATTTTCATAATGAACAGTTGCACATTATAAAGATCCACTGGTTGAATCTTACGTGTCACAAGCATCAGATTCTTGTGGAATATAAGATTTATTTTAGACAAATGAACATGTTTGCAGTTTCATGAAATCCATTCTGTTTTAAACGTGATTTATTTATTTATTTAAGATAGTGAAAGTTTGTTAATATTGATTGCCATCATGTTTTGTTTTGTTATTTTAGCCCACTCCCTGCCATTACTTCATTCGGATGCTGCATGACAAAGGACTTCTTCTTCGACACTTCACTCAGGTACATGTGTGTTTCCATTTTATACAATGACTTTTTCCAATTTAACAAAAACTGCTCCCATGATACACAAGACTTGCTCGCAGTCTTTGAACAAAATTTGCTCCCATTTTACACAAGAATTTTTATACTTAAAGAATTGTTGACTTTCCCAAGATTTTTGGTATAGTTATTCTCAGTTCAGTCATTTTCAGTCTACACACGGGCCCATAGCCAGCTTTTGCCAAGGGGGGGGGCTATTTTTCCAAAAAATCCAGGGGCTTCACATTTGACAGCTTGGCCGAAAACTGCATGATTTTAAAGGATCTTTGATCAAGACTGGGTCTGACACAGTTTATATAATTTCATCATTCAATATTTTCTTTCTAGAATATTGACACACTAGAGCGAGAGACAGGGTTGTCTTCTGAAAAGATCATAGAGTGCCATGGAACATTCCAGACCTCTCACTGCCTTCAGTGTAGGAGGGAGTACAGTAAAGAATGGATGAAAGGTTTTAATATGTTTTTTAACATGATTGTATAATTTGAAGCATGAATCTTTTATTAGATATGACATGATAGAAATGTTGCTATTTAAAATTTCTCAAATAAAGTAAAATTGAAATTCAATTTTTATACATACATGTATATGTTTATGAGAATATTCATAATACATAGTACATGTATATAACTTCATACTTCATGATACATTTTATATGACAATATTCAACAAAACTCCTATAATAATAGATGTGACACCTTATATAATTCTACAAATACCATAAAGCTAGAATTAAGAAAAGAATGAAAAACACATACAAATGCAAAGTAGATTCAACAATTCAATATTTGACAACTAGATCAATAATCGCTCTTGAAAATTGAGTATGTAATTGTATACAATATATTTACATGTATTATATTTCTTTTTCTTAACTCTTTTCCAGAGCAAGTATTTAGTGACCAGATTCCCAAGTGTACAGTTGAAGGGTGCAGTGGTATAGTAAAACCAGGTATTGAAATCTCAATATATTATGTGAATCTGTTCAATTCAATATTCAGATCATAGACCCTCTGATTTCTTTTTGACAACTTGATATATTTTCTAATATTCAATAGTAATTACATGAGCTGAGGATAGAAGAGGGGGGTATAATCATAATCATTGCACTATGGCTTTGTCTCAAGCTTCAAGTAAAGATGTCACTGACATTAAATTTCTATGTTGAACTGACAAACATGATGATAACGACTAGAGAAAAAAAGATTCAGGTTTATAGATACAATAATTTCACCATATACTGCACACTGGATCTTCTTAATTAATTAAACTTTCTATTATTTCCTCCCTCCTTCTGAATATGTGTTCATGATTACATGGTTGTTCGTTGCAGATATTGTATTCTTCGGTGAAGCACTACCAGATAACTTCTTTAGGGGTGTAGAGGAGGTATGACATCACAGATAATCTTACCTTATTTGAAATATAGAGTAAAAGTAGAAGTTAAACACTTCACTAAATGGTACACCTTTGTGGAACACTTTTCACAGTCTCTTGAACACTATCAAGAATCAAACTTTTTTAATTTACCGAATACACAAACATATGAAAAACAAATACAAAACTGTGCTTCATTTTTTAAGTTAACCACTTTTAATTTATCTCATGTATGCAGAGCCATCATTTTTACCACATATAATTTTTGTAGGACTTACCAAAGTGTGATCTGCTCATCATAATGGGCACAAGCCTGACTGTGTACCCATTTGCTGCTTTGAAAGATAGGTAAGTTGTGTTGTAGATTGATATTTTTAGATTACAACAACATGATTATCAACAGTCAACAGGAACCACAAGTGTCACAATACCACTGCTATATAAAGATATAAATACCCAAACGAGTGACCAATATAATAAATAAAAAATCATACAAAATTACCTTACATGTATACTGCAGTGAAATAATATTTCAGCAAATCAGAATAAGAATCATATTGTTGGGAAGTAAAACTACACATTTTTATTAGCTCACATGGTGAGCTTTTGCAATCACTCACTTGTCTGTCTGTCCGTCTGTCTGTGCGTGCGTCCGTCCGTCAACAATAGTGGCACGTTTTAAAACCTCTGTTGATAGGATTCCCGTTTTAAGTTATTTCTGTTCAACATCAATACAGAAAACTCCCCTATGAATCCATGTCAATGTAAAGAGTAAATGTGTGATATAATTTTGTTACAAAAAATCAGCAAAAAATTATTATCCATTTTTTTATTTTCAGCCATTTTAGTACAGTGTAGTAACATTGATTTGTCCATCCTGACTCGCGAAATCCACTTTTCTGTCAACAATAGTGGCACGTTTTAAAACCTCTGTCGATAGGATTCCTGTTTTAGTTTATTTCTGTTCAACATCAATACAGAAGACTCCCCTATATGACTCCTGGTTCAAATGCTTACCTATTTTCAAAATGGCCACCATTTTTGTCTCGCGAAATTCACTTTTGACCCATTTCCTAGCTTTACAAATAATTTCAGGTGTCCTGCATTGTAAAATTCCATGTCAATGTAAAGAGTAGTTGTGTGAAATAATTTTTTGACAAAAAATCGGCAAAAAATTGTATCTGTTTTTTTATTTTCAGCCATTTTAGTTAACATTGATTTGTCCATCTGTCTCGCGAAATCCACTTTTTGACCATTTGCCTTAAACCCTCTGTCGATAGGATTCCCGTTTTAAGTTATTTTTGTTCAACATCAATACAAAAAACTCCCCATGACTCCTGGTTCAAAAGCTCACCTATTTTCAAAATGGCCACCATTTTTGTCTCGCGAAATTCACTTTTGGCCCATTCCCTAGCTTTACAAATAGTTTCAGGTGTCCTGCATTGTAAAAAGCCATGTCACTGTAAAGAGTACTTGTATGAAATAATTTTGTTACAAAAAATTGGCAAAAAATCATCTTTTTTTATTTTCAGCCATTTTAGTTAACACTGATTTGTCCATCTGTCTCTCAGTCAGTCCAAGATAGTGGCAAGTTGTAAAACCTCTGTCTGTCAACACTTTGCTCTTTTAAAATCCTCTGTAGATAGGATTCCCATTTTAAAATATTTTTGTTCAACATCAATAAAGAAAAAAACCTGTGACTCCTTCTTTAAAAGCTCGCCTATTTTCAAAGCGGCCACCATTTTTGTCTCGGGAAATTCACTTTTGGCCCATTTCCTAGCTTTACAAATAATTTTAGGTGTCCTGCATTGTAAAAAGCCATGTCTTTGTAAAGAGTAGTATGAGTATGAAATAATTTTGTTACAAGAAATCGGCAAAACATTATATCCATTTTTTTCTGTCATTTTAGCCATCATTCACTTTTGACCAACACCATGTGAGCCCAGTACCCACAGTACTATTTTTTAGTTTATTTTTTACACAAACCTTATGTGAACATGTAAGTAAACTTTGTCTTCTTTTGTTCCAGAGTACCTACATCTGCACCTCGACTCTTCCTGAACTTGGAGAAAACATCATCAGTATGTACTTAAATACTGCTTTGTTATAAATTATAAGAGTAATTTAATCTCTAAATAATGTCAAGACATTACTTTCCAAAAATACAGCAGTTGATAAAGGCTAATTTTGTTTTGACATACTTTTCCAAACATCTATTTTTGCACTTGTCCATGACATAAAACACTTTTGGTTAAAGAATTAATATTACTTTTTGCCACACACAATGTAAAGCACCAGAAATAACTTATAAGTTGACATCATTTGAGTCGACTAGTTTTTGGTCACCCTGTACTTTAAAGCTGCAACAATTAGTGCAACGATCATCGACAAGTGTCAAAATATATTTAAGTTTGGATATTTCATCAAGACTAACATATATTGTTATTATCAACAAAGAAACCCCCTGGATGAACATTATTTCAGCTGATATTCCTCTTGAAATGTGGTGAATCTTAGAAATCTATAAGTGGGACTCCCTTTATAGAAGTTTTGAACTGAATTTACACTTCTTGAAATTGAGACTTTATCCATACATTTTTAGAGAATAGGTATATCAAAGAGGATGCTAAGCCAAATATTGACCTGATAGCTTAGAAAAAATAAAAAAAATTCGAATTTTCTCTCTATAGTCCTTGTTGCCCCTTTAATATGTGTGACTAACATAACATATTGCTGCATGAATTTGTAACTTACAGGAGGATTGGGTGGCTGCAATGATGGCTGCAATGAGTGTCAGTGATGAGGAGATTGAAGTACATAAAGATGTTTGGTTGCTAGATACATGTGATAATGGATGTTATACTATTGCAGATCAGCTTAGTTGGAAGGTTTGTACTCATTTTGTAATGCATATGAAAACCATATAAAACCTGTATGTCTGACCGATTGAACTTATTGCTAATTTTAAAGAATACAACCTATGACATCATCAAGCTAGCCAACAAATCAAAAGGTGGTAGGATTTATCTAAGAGATCTATTAAAGCACGTTGAGTTGTCGTACACCATGCTTTATTTTGTAATTTAAGTGTTGTATATTTTTATCTTTTTTTTTCTTGTTGATCCTACTCGGAATGATTTTTGAAATAATTTTCTTTCCATATTGAGGCCTAGAATATTTTATTCTGAAAAGGTACCAAATGAAAGGTCTAATTGTCATTCATTGTAAATGTAATGTTAATGCATGTACTATTGCAGGGGGAACTGGAAACATTAGTAAAGGAGGAACACTCTCGAATTGACACCGAAAATGTCGAAACACAAACTCTAGCAAAATGTGACGAATCTGACAAAAAGACATTATCGAAGCACTAAAATATAGTCTCAAAATACTTTAAGAATGAGAGTTTCTATAAGTAACGAGGAGAGAGATTAACGAGCAGATGCAATAATTCTAGTCAATACACAAATTGTGTTAACATTTTAAACAGTGATTTCACTGATGATGAATTGCTGGCTGTAAGATTAATTTTTATGTCACCACCAGAAGTGGTGACAGAAGTGGTTTTCAGCAGTTGGCATCTGTAAAAAATGGCAGATGGTGACACTTTGCATGTTAATCCCTTGTATTTTTATATTAAAATCTTTCATCAAATTCATGATCTCGCCATGGCGTGCTCTGAATTATGTAAAATGTGTATGTAATGAATGGTGCACAGGGCCTTTATTCAAGAGAGAACTTAATACATGTACTTGTATGTGTAAAAATACTTTATAGACACCATGCATATTATCAGTATATCTTTATGTCGCCACCAGAATTGGTGACAAATTGTTTCCAACTTTTTGTGGATGGTGTTTGGTTTGCATCTGTATCAAATGGCAGGTTTTGACATATTGCATGTTAATGCCTTATTTGCCTTTTCTTTGAGTTGTGAATGCTATAATGTATACTCCTGTACTTGTAAATGTTAGATAAGATGAATTGATTCAAATATTTGTGCATATCATCCTGTGAAACCTGTTGTATTAATACCACTAAAGAGGAAATAGTCACAGTGAGTTAATCAACTTGTAAACAAGTGGCATGAGTTCTGGAATAACAATAACAAGTACATGTAGTTGATTTAAAATATTTTAGAGTATGAGAATGGCAAATTGGTTGTACTTTAACCTTTTGGGTTATTATTCAGTGAATTACCAGAGTGTTTATGGTATTATATATTTACATATTGAATTTTCAGTGATACGATGTACAAATATTACTTTCATTAATGTACACTTTATGGTGATATTAATTTATGAGATGGGTTTCTTGTTAAAGACATATATTTGTTATGCCTCGATACTTAGCACAATTTACAGCTTTCGAAGCAATACTATTTTTGTTTGGGTTGTTACACCTTAAACCTTACAGTGATGTTCAGCTCTGCAGATTTGACTGTTGACGGTAAAATAAAAGAGAATATGAACTTAATAAAAAGTGAATATTGTTAATGAGGGGACTATTAGACATGTATTTCATAAATGAGTATTCAGGCCTATATGTTATTTAGCATGGGATGTGCAACGAGTATACAGGGCAACAGGCATATCATGTACATGTAACTTAATATATTGTGAATCAAAATTCATTGAGTTGTGTTTGATGCTGTTTCTTAAATTGAACATAATTATTTTGTTGTTGAATTAAAATTCATTATATTTTCAAGAAACTCCATCAAAGGTCACATTCTAAATTATATTTTGATTCATTTGCTTATCTGTTAAACCACCATTCTTCTCGACAAAACAAGATGGACATTTTCAAAAATTGGTACATTAAGAAAGATTTTAGATTTTGAAACTGTATTATATGTGTTATATTAGCACAAACCACACATGGCATTCTATGCCTTAGCCCACCATAGAGCGGTGTAAAAAAGCTGCATAAAAATAAAGATGTCTCTATTATAATATGTGTGATATCAACCTGTCACGCCAAACTCAATTTCTATTTCATCTTAAGAGTAAAGTATATTATACATATACAGGTGAACTTATAGAATATATTAACTAATTTTGTAATGAAACATGTAGATAAATCACAATTTTGATTAATGATATTTTATGATGTTTGAATTGAGTAGCCATGTTAAAAATTCCTTCTGAAACATAGATCCTATACTCAAAGGCCATTAAACTATAGAATTTGTACTTAAGATTTACATCAGCCACTGAAGACATATTTTCTAAGACAGATTTAATAACAATTGGGCATGCTCAAGTACATTGGATGTGTGACTAATTGCTTTATACGATTGTCAAGGGAAGGGAGTGGTTCATTTAAGGCCATATATCTTGCTGTGTCAAATCAGACAAACAGTATTTGAGTTATCTGTCAGAGACACACATGGGCAAATGGTTGAATTAGAAAAATAGATGCCTTCTTTATATGATGTTCATGACATCTTCATGATTTGATGATTTCTTTGTAGTTTCCCTTTGTTTCTTGCTTCTTTTGTTGTGATTTTCTCTTTTCCCTAGTCTTCTTTCTTCTTGTAGTTGAAGTCTTGTTTGGTGTAGGATCTGCAGACTTGTAACTGTATAACAGATGTAGTTCTCTATATCCCCATTCATTCTTCACTCAGTGGGATGATTAGAATCAAATGTTCACATTGTATGTGTTTTGCAACAAAATATAAGGTTACATGTAATTATAAAAATGTACGGTAATAATAATCTGTTATATGAAAGCAGATGATAAAAATGAAATAATAGAGTGTTGAAAGATCTTAAGCCTACGCATCTGCGCCAATTAGCCTTGCACATCTCTCACCTTTCAATATCCTACTTCCTGTCCACAATAGATGGGGAAGGATGTTTCAAAAGAAATTCATCATTATCAGCTCTTCATAGTCTTTCCTTTCAGAATACACACCTCAAATCAGTACATAAAGAAACTCTTAGAAATAAGAAATTAAGGTGACCAAAATAAAGCTTAAAATATTTATTTCAAGGTCCAGGGGATGACTGAAATACAGTGCAGATTTGGTTCAAATGGCTAAAGGACCTCTGCTCCAGAATGGATTTCAAATATGGCAGCTCTATTCAAAATGGCTATGTAATCTTTGATAACCAAAACACTAGTTGACAGATTTGGTTCAAATTGTATATGCTGATGCTTTGGGGGCACTAAACTTCAGCTCATGAAGTTAGACAACCTCTGAATTCAGTCTGACATACCAACACTTATTTCATCCTTTTAAGTTTACTACAAGCATTTTTGACAAGCATACAAATGTGGCCCTTTACCCCCCTCCCCTCAACATAATTACTTAGTTTATTATTCATATTATAAATCTATATATTGATATGTTTTCTAAGAACTCGAAGACAGAAATACAGTAAAACCTGTGTATATTGAACATAAAATTGCAGAGAAAAAAACATACAGTGCTTGTAGGTGTTCCCTACAGAGAGAATAATTTATAAATAAGTCAATATAGTATGTATGGAGCAAGGGTGTCCACTAGAGACAAGTGTTCACTAGAGAGAGTTGTTCACTAAGACTGGTTTTACTGTATAAGGGAATTGAACTTCTTGTACTAAAAGTACCTATTGTGACTGTATATCTTAAATTGATTACTTCATTGTATATATGGTCTGAAGAATTGTCATATAATAGGCTGAGATAATGAATTTTTCCCACACAAGAAATGATGTGCATTAAGTGGAATATTTCATTGTACCTACATGTATTCTTCCTATTTAAAGAGGGATAACGTAGTCTCAAGTGCCAAATATTGAAAATCAGCTTTCTTAGAATGGATATGCATGTGTAACAGCCCTAGATAGCAAATTGCTTCAACAGCTCAGCTGTAGTGAGTTGCTTAGGCCTTTATAGCACAAGTGATGGAGGATCAGACTTTTGATCTAAGGGTCCAAGATTTTCATTTCCCACACGGGGCTTTGTATTTAGCATGTCTGTATCTGGCTTGTTACACTATGCTCGTAAGTTAGTCATTCTCCTGGGTCGCCCTTGTATTGGGTCATTACATACGTCATGAAATACAATTTTGAGTGATATCATTTTATCAACAAGTTGATAGCATAAGCATGATTGAGTGCAGTTTTGGTATTGATTGCACATTTTTCGTATTGATTGCACAGTTTTGGTATTGATTGCAAAGAGCTGATAAAATATCAAGATAATCATATCAAGTTATCCTATGATTATTTTCAAATTAAATAAAATGCCAAAAAATATTTTTTCACTAATATCACCATATGGAAGTATCAACTGCATGAGGTTGCTTGCTAATATCACATTGGTATAAAGTTTAATCTGTGTATATTGAGCAATGAAATATTGAATATTTTGCCAAGAAAAAATACTCACTGTAAAATCTGTGTATATTGTATATTTTTGCCAAGAAAAATGTTCATTGTAGGTAGCTGTTCACTAGAGTAAGGGTTTTGCCATTTTGCATTTTTGCCATAAATACATTTTATTATTTTTAGCAGTTGACATAAACTGCTTAACTCTAAAAAAGCAGTTGCAGAAAATCTGTGAAAATTTGCTTCATTGTTCACTTAACACAGAATAATTCCATTGATTTTGCCAAGATTTATTGTTCACTTTTCACAGTTGGTAGGTGTTCACTGTAGAAATGTATTTTAACATGGAGTCAATGGGAGAAAATGGGTTTGCCAAATAAAAACGCTCTCTGAAGAGAGGGGTTCACTAATACAGGTTTTACTGTACATGTAATTATCAGAATTATCAGAATACTGAACTGATATCAATGTTTTCCAATAATATTGGTATAACCATGTGATCAAATAAGATAAAAAGATTTCAAGTCGTGATTTATTCATAATATCTCTGTTAGGGGGTATTGTTTTCCAATACAAAGCTGCAGGTCAATATTGGTATTCTTGATTAAGAGCTAAATTGCTTTATATAAGTGACTATAAGCGGAACATAATAAACAAAATAAGTTATTTTATCTTACAAAGATATGAATACAATTTTTTATATTTGTTTCATAAATAGGAGCACCCATTACATATTTATGCTTTACAATGATTTATACAAGTTATACAATTATAACAATCTGCCAGTTTTCTAAATTGTTGAGCCATGCAATCTGAAACACTTTAGTACATTACATTGGTATAATTTGCAAAATGATTCTGGTACAGTCAGTGCATAATAGCAAAATTGGAAACACCTCTGATGAAGAGCATACCTCGTGTATACCAACTTAAAGTCTCTTGTACATGTACAATGCACCAAATCTGTACTAAAAGAGTAAAGAATAAGGTTGGAAGAATGAAAAAAATAAAACAGATATTGTTTCCTTTAGTCCAAGCTTGTGTTTCAAATGAAGTTGTTTACACTGAAGATGTTATCCTCTCAAGTTTGAGATACACAGTATCTCAGATAAATATATGTATGGACAGCAAATAAAGGATTCAATCCTCTGAAAAATATGGATAAAGATATTTATCCCATACTACATCTACACATCCTTGGATGTGGTTGAGGCACATAAAATGACGTAAAATGTATGTATTAAAAACTATAAATATTCCCATAGGATAAACAGATCATTCTGTAGGCAGTTCATTATCCTTTGGTCAATATATATATCTGTCCCCAGGACAACCACCCCTTGGGGAGATATATTATAATAGCTTTTGGATATCCCAATGATTCTGAACCTCATAGGATAATCTCTATTTCTCTTGAGAAAAACCCTAAATCTAAAGCTTTCCAGTACATAACCCATATATCCTGTATATCTGCCAATCGTGAAAAAGAAAAGATAATATTATATGTATATAGACAGATTACAAGATTGACCATTAATGTTATGCACCCGCAAATTGTTACAAGCATACATACAGGCTGAATACAGCGAATTGATTTTACTCCCATCTCTTAAAGATTCATACATCATACAGTTTATTGTGATTTAAGGACAGAAGAACATTTTCATTATGAATACACTCATTGATCTGGTATTCAGATTTCATTTATCTATAACTTACACATTTTTTCTATAACAAAAGCACTGTAACAGAATATGTCATTCTAGGAGATACTGCAATACGATCAACAACATGTTTACATGTAATTTTTTATTATATTACAATGACATCTTAATTATGAAATTAAGTAGGAAATGGAACTGATGTCTTAAGTTATTAAGACATCATTTCAAGTGTTATTGTTCGCATGTGTCACAGTGATCTCATAAACACATAGAATAATCATCATGGAATGAAGTAAATATTTACATAACATCCCATCCTTAATTTAATTATTAGGTAGCTAAATCCATCCTTTCTCCAAGGGTACCGTATTTCTATTCTTAATTGAATGAGTAATAAAGCCATTTTGATGAAGGATGGCGAAACCTTGATAATACAGTAGACCACTATTCCACTTACACAAGTTTTACTCTTTTGTATTGTCCAACGTTCGAATAAATAATGCTGAGTACTAGGTAGTCTTCGTTTAAAATACAGTCTCATGGCCTAATAAACTCTATTGTTCTGTATCAAAATTGTACATAAGTGCCAGTTCAGGAATCTACCCTTCAATATCACTCAAAATGATCCGATATTCTGTATACACCGGTAATTGGAATAAGCTAATTGGGCCACAAACATATAAAACAAAGACTGTCTTAATATGTACATTGTATGTCATTTCAATCTCCTGAATTGTGGCCTGTTAAAAATATCATAGACTTAGAGTACCTCGTTAATTTGATTTCCCTGTAAGTGAAGGCTGTTGGCATCTCAACCATAATACCCATTCACTTTATTCCAATGAATATTTAACTCACTGTTAAAATACAAAACCACTCAAGAGTAAAAATAATTCTTTCTTCCTATCTGTTATGTTAATTCTAAACAAGACTCGCATGTTCAATTAAGAGCAGAATATTAAGTTCGATGGGAAGTTACAATAATGTAACCATGTACTAGATTTCAAATTACTCGAAAATGATTAGGAATTGCATCTTCACTCAAGACATTGTACTCATTATCACAAAAGGATGTGTCCTCAAATCTCTGATAGTATAAGATAAAATAACTGACATATTGAACAATGTCCAGTTATTTTTACTCCACAGACCAGTTGTTTACTTCAGCATGTACATGAAAATGAATAACGTGACAACAGGCCAATTATCAATATAGCTCTGGAATCCTTATGACGCACTCTGATACCAGAAGCGTAGCAAGGCATGTGGCAGATGATATAACTGCCTCATTTGACCTACCAACATTTGTTGGGTCAAATGTATTTTGGGTAGTGTACAGTAAGTAAGACCGAATTCAAATAATTTTCACCTCAAGAAAATTTTCAGAAAATACTTCATTAACACAATTTTCGCCTTTTACCAACACTGCTCAATTTTCAAATAGAATTGTGGAAATAAATGATCAGTATTTCACTTTGGCTTATTTTGGTCCATCTATTTTACGATTCCGCCAACATACTGGATACTGATCAATGTTATGGATGTTCATAATTATATACAGTCATTATTGTGTTCAACTTTGAACAATTCAAACTACACTACCCAAATTGATATACATTTGATCTGTTGATGTTTATAAGATCAACTGTAAGTAAATTTGTGTAGCCTAGTGTAGTGTAATGTAGTGTAGTGTAGTGTAGGTGGGATTGAACTGAATCCAATAACCTATCCAACAAACCCCTCAGTAATTCAAGTTCAATTCAGAACAATTGAACTTACACTCACATTTACAGTTTATCGACTGACATTTGTAGGATGAAAAGTAAGTTATTTTGGGTAGTGTAAGTAGGATCGTTTATACTGAATTCAATGACCTACCAATCAAATTCCTCTTCAGTGAAGTAATTTATATTCAATTCAAAACAATTTCACCAAACACTACCATTACATGACCTTTTATCATTAAGGATCAAATAATGTAAGTTATTTTGGGTAGTGTAAGTAAAATTGTTTTAAACTGAATCCAATGCACTACCCAATGAACCCCTCTTCAGTGAAGTTATTTATGTATAGGACAAACTTGATTCATACATGAACCAGAAACATACCTTGAGGACAACTATTAATAGAGAATTCCTTTATACAATAGTATCATTGTGTCGATGCCTTAATTACACTTAGGTATATTACATGGAATCTTTATGAACCATGATATAAGTAATTGATAACGTGGTCTCTTGATTAGCCCAGCTGAGGGAGTAACATGTTTTCTTCATCGCTATCATAGATATCTCTACCGATTGAAAATGTCTTATAGCGAGACAAGTCTTCATCTACTTCGAACATAATCTTACTCGTGCTCTGTACACTTGAGAAACTTGTCACCGCTGAATTGGGGGTAGTTCCTGATTTACCATCAGGGGAGAGGTGCCTCACTCTCCCTGGTAAAAGTTTCTGGCTGGTGACACTTACAGAATCTATATTGTCATTCTCACGGAATCCGTCCAAGCGTTCCCAATCCTCCTCCATTAGCTCAGTCATTGTAGTTGAAGTACTTGTGAGGTCCTTAGTTATCGCACCTTCAGATTCACGAGGGCTTAGGTGGTTAGAACCTTTTGCAATAGTGTTCAAATGTCGTTTTTGCAAATGCCCATTTCCGGTCTCAGGGAATATCAGTCTGGGGCTAATCAAGCTGGGACTAGGGGATTGACCGTTCTGGTGTCCAGAATTCGGCGCATTGTCTTGAGATTTATATAACCTTTCAGATGATTTAAACTGTCTCCCGTGGAGTTCCAGTGATGGTAAGGAGCCACGTTTGTCATTCATTCTCGAATGTGAGAGACTGCTGAGTTGTTTGTTCACAGGATTATTTCCTCCCGCCATCATACCACTGTTATAGAGGCGCTGTGTTAAATCCTCAACAGAAATGTTATTTTTCTTAGGTTTCCTCGCATTAGTGTCATATGTGTTCCTCAACTGAGGGATGTGTTCTGTATCTATAGGACGTGCATTCATCTTCATGGCTAACTCTTGTCTATACTTAGCCACGCCTGCGATTGAGAATGGTTGAATCTCCATGGTGGTACAGCCTTGTAGCCTTGCCCACTCCTCTGCTGTCCGACCATGTTGTCCATCCCTCAGTGAAACACATGCCCTACCCTCTTGAGCTAATATAGTAGCACATTCAACATGGCCCTCCTTGGCAGCAATATGGAGAGCAGTTAGCCCATCATGGTTCTCCCTGTCCACGTTCAAGCCTAACCGTCGGAATGATTTGATGAGAATTTCAGTTCCCGTGTCATTTCCTATCATTGCACTGTACATAAGTGGAGTCATTCCTGGAAATACAAAATATATGAATATTTACACAAAATATATATATGTAGTAGTTGCTGCATATCTATATGTCATAAATGCATTATGGAAGCAAATATTGACAAGGTAAACATGCTAAATGGTCACAAAAATAGTTATTTTAACAATATGTCACCACTTCTAGGAGGTGACAAAATAGTCACCACTTCTTGATGGTGACATAATAAAACAATTGGATTTATGCACTAAGAGTGGGGAAACCCCAGGGTTCAGAGATGACATAACGTCTATAATGTAAATGTGTATTGAGATGACATCATCGCTGATTGGTCAAATCGACATACAAATGACATCATTCAATGGTGTTTTCAACATTTTTCAACATTTTTTTTTTAGCTTCGGATGAAATTATTTTAAGATCTGAAGTGTTAACCAACATCATAGCTTGATATTTCACATCAAGATAAAGAAATGTGTAAGGAATATGCTAACATTGATTAAAACTTCACAACGACGTGTGGTATTCGGCAACTAGCCATTGAAAATTTGAACAAGCGAAGGTGGTTAGCAAGAGACGTAATTATGTCTGTCATCTTTAAGGTCTGGGGTTTTCTCTTCCCTTTCTATGACTCTAATAGTGCTTGTTTGCAAACAAATTATTAATTATCTTAACTTTTACAAAACCACTTTGAAGCTGTGAGGCTTCATTTATTGTGCACTTATTTCTCTATGATGTCACATTTATAGTTTCTTTTATGTTTTGTATTGTAGGATTATATATTAAATGCTTCATTAGACTAAATAAATAAGTTCCTCTATCAATTATTCAAAATGCTACATTACATATACAAGATTAGCACTTTCTTATGGATCTCATATGACCTCCAAGTGCCCTTTCAACCCTCACGCATTAGGCGTGATTGTCACGCATTTGCTAGAAAAATTGAAATCACGCATTAATTTTGCATGTATGATAAAATGTCAAGCAAATCACGCACTTAAAAAAATCTGCTTTTTATAATAAAATTGAACGCAGATACAGCAAAAAACGAACGCCAAAAAAAGTGAACACATTCCGTTCAGACTTTTCATGCGAATTCCGCAAATGCCATGCATCGAAATTTCTTCATATGTCATGCTTCGAAAATTCTTGCACCTCACCTAAGGCAATTCTCATGATTACCAAATAGCCTGCAAATATTCCATTTACACAATTCATTGTGTAAAACAACAATTTATTTGTTATATTGTAGACAGTTAACACCTGATCCACTGATACATCTACTCTAATTGTCATTGCAACGAATATACAGGGTGAGCAAAAAATAGAACACTCATATGTATATAATCTAAGAGAGTAAATATGAACCAAATGTCATAAAAATTAGGGATCACGTTACCTCAAAAATCGGCCTCTGAAATTGCAATTTTTTATCATTTCTATAATCTGAGAAACAATTCTTTATTTCTTATTTTTCACCATTTCACTCATATCTCAGCAAAATATCATTGTTATTTGTAACCTAGACACAAATTCCTTTACTTTATGTTAAGAACAAAATTGTGACAATATTGTGATTTTTTTTTATAATGTGTAGAAACTAACGTTTAATCACCATCTTGTGTGAAGTATTCCAAAAAAGCCTGACAATCAGGGTTTCTATGCAAAAAAATAGAACTATATTATGATGATAGCTTGACTGTGTATTTGTTCTCAAAACAAATTGAGGTAAGAATGACTGGTAGCAAAAGTTTCAGGAAGGTATACATAATGTACATTATGACTTCTGAGATTGAGAGCTATTATCACAACTAGAGGCAGACATATTGGACACTCTTTTAATCTTCATTTTCAGATTGTGAATTGTGACATCACAATAAAAAACTGTCACATTTTGATTGCCCACCCTGTAGAGAGTGTTAACTCTAATATCAACTGAAAACAACAGTTTTGCAGAGACACTTACTGTATATCACTTGGTCTTATAGAATATAACGAAATGGCTTAATATGAGACATGAGATCAAAAAATCTTTGGACAGTGTGGTTCCCAGATTATTATGGTATCAATTTATTAATTCAACAAAACCAGAAGTAAGGAGATTGATCTTTCAAACCATAAATACTGTAAGTGTGGGTATTTCCTCAAACAATATGACATTATTTCCGACCATGAATGACATGAGGGATTAAATAGCATGTTGTAATTATAAAAGACAATGCTGAACACTGATCATGGACATGGATGATTTGCCACTTTTTGAGATGAAAAATTAGCAAAATTGATTTTTCAAAGTATGAATACACTATAGCATGCATCATTTTTCATAAAACAATGTGACATCATTTTAGACCAAAATGTCTTCAGCATTAACAATACTCGAATGAAAAATTATAGAACATGACGAACGAAACCATACATCAAGCCATAGAATCAATTAACAAATTACTTCATATTTCTGATTGAGTACAACCGCAAAAAATGAACAAATATCTTATTACAATTTTATACACCCAACTTGTGTATTAGATAAATATAAACAATATTATATAGCACTACACTAATAACAATAATATTTTGTTAAGTTCACAACAAGCTGATCTAGCTAGAGAGCGTCACAAATGTCTGAAATATATAATATGATGTCAAGAAGACATACGTCAGTAATATATGTGAGATGTTAAGGGTAATGCGTCACCTTTAGCTCGAGACCTTGGGAGGCACTTTCTTGACAATTCTCAATCGCCTTGTCCTATTATTAAGTAATTTTTCCACCATAAGTAGGGAGTATTTTATTTTGTTTGTCATGTAATTCTACTATTACATCCCTGAGAGTGACGTTATTGGTGTCTATGGGCTAATATACGTCAACATACTCTTTTGTTATGAGATATGGGTTCATATTTACCCGTTTGTTATGATGTATGGTTGCTTTTATGTCATAGTAACCATGGTGAATTTAAAATAATTTGAATTTTGACCTTTCTGATTTTTGGCATTTACTAATGAATCTAATTTGGTGATTTTCATAGTTTTGTCAATGTTGAATTGCTTTAGATGATTTCATCACCACTGTTGGTCTATGTCTAGGCCAAATAAGACCATTCCTTTGAGATTGGTCCTTCATTGCTTTAATGCTATGAATTACTCTTGGGCCGAGGATGAAGCAAAACCACTGTTACATTTAATTTGATAATCCATGAGATCTGCCTTTCCACAGACTTCAAAAAGAGCATTGAGAGCATTTTTCAGATACAGACTAAGTTTTAAGACTTAACAATTATGTATTTCATAATTCTCCATCATGTTTTCTATTGTTCCATATCATTGGAGAGCACTGCCCGGCCGAAAAAAATTTGGAGCCCAATACAGTGTGCCTTTTTGGGCATTACTGGGCCTTTTGGGCCTTCCAATTTTTTATGCTCAAGCATGGAAATTTTTTTCAGACTTGAAATGTGGCTCCCTCTTGTTAGTTTTCAGGTGGAGGGCACTGATATCTCTTTTCTGACAAATCCATTATAATGTAAAAAGTGTGAGGAATGTCATATGTTTTTTCACTATAATTTTTATGTCTACACTTAAATGTTTCCAAGGGGTCATTATACCTTGAAGAACATAAGTATAAATGTGCTATAAATCTCTCAAGATAATCCTTGTTGTAACAAAGATTGTTTTATTTAAATAAGTAGGTCATAATTTTTCTTTAGATAACAGCTATGCTAATGATAAGCAATAAACTAGAGCCTATCTTTCACAGTTCCCTTCTTTATCTCTATATATAAATAAATACAGGGTGACACAAAAAAGTGCCACCAACATTATGTTGCATGACTTTTTTTGTCTGCAGGAATTCAGACTTGTTCTTTAGCATATTAAAACAAGGTCCATGGAGCACCTCCACAATTAACTGGATGCACTTTTATGACCATAATAAGATTTGCTCTAAATGTCAGGCACACCTTTTCTAGTACAGGGTGACCCCAAAAAAATGCAACCCTCCATTTCTCCAATATTTTTCTTAAATGGAGGTTAATTGCTCTGAAATTTTGCGCACAAGAACTTCATTCAATGTGGGATCCCCTGGCAAAGTGTCAATAATCATAGTCTTATATTGATAGAGTTATGGTCGTTCCAAAATATGCTCCAAATGTCGCCATTTCCAATGTTAGGTTTTCGGATGAATCACATTCCCTTCTTTCTGAACATGTAAACTCAAGAAATAATGTGTTCTGGGATCACAGATTCCAGATGAAGTGCTTCAAAGGCCCCTTCATTCTGTTAAATGCACAGCTTGGGCTGCCAATTTCCAAACATGAAATCATCAGCCCCTTTTGGTTTGAGGTTGATAATGGCAACACTGTTACTGTTAACACAAAGCGCAATATTGGCTCTCCCAGGAAGTTCTAGGCAGTTCGAGAGTGACATAGAGGCTTCAATAGACTGCAAGAACAGTGGTTCTAGAAGGATGGAGCTACTCCTCACACTTCTAATGATAGCATAGCCTGGCTCACTAGTCATTTCTATGATTTTCTCTCCTAGGACGGAGAACCCATGGTCATCCCACAGTCTTGATCTCAATGCCCCTGACTTCTATATATGGGGTTATTTAAAGAATAATGTGTATGAAAATAACCCTACCGCAATTGCAGAACTCCAACAAGCAATGGCTGCAAAAATTTGAGCCATACCCATGGGGAAGAATGCATCCATGTTATGAACAGTTTTCCTTGAACATCGCAAGTTTGTTTTCAGTGAAATTGACGACATCTGGAGCATATTTTGAAACAACCATAACTCTATCAATATAAGACTATACTTATTAAGACTTTGCCAGATGATCCCACATTGAATGAAGTCCTTGTGTGCCAAATCTCAGAGCAATTTACCTCCATTTAAGAAAAATATTGAAGAAATGGAGGGTTGCATTTTTTTGGGTCACCCTGTAGAAGCCAGAAGTGTGCTTGCAATAGAATGTTTTTTTGCTAGACATTATTTTCAGAAAACATTACAAGGAAATCTATC